TCTAGCCGATCACCATCTCAGTTCCTTTCTTCCTCCGCCATTCCTTTATCCTCTCAGCCGTCCGCCGCTCCTTTATCCTCTCAGCCGTCCGCCGCTCACCTCTCTCGCTCTCTCCCTTTTGATTCCCTTTTCTTTCTTATGGAAGCTCTCTCCTCCAATCCCCTAGCTGTCTGCTTTCATCCCCCCTCAAAACCTAGCCGCCAGTCTCTTCCAAAACTCTCTGGTTCTCCCTCTTTTGCAGATTTTACTAGCCGTCCACCCTCCTTTTCTCTGATGCAGCCGCCCCTCTCTTCTCTGTTTGCTGTTTTCTTTTTCTTTTCCCAGACTTACAGCCGTCATGCTCTATCCCCCTATGCCCTCTCTGCCCAGCCGTCCGTCTCTTTCCTTTTATACGGGAATCATCACCCTAAACCCTTCAGTCCTTTCTTCTATATTTGTAGCCAAGGGCTGCCTTGAGCCCTTCCTTGCAAGCTGCGACAAATGCAGCTTGCATGCCGCAAGCCCCTTTCTTTTTTTTTTAGGATTAATTAAAACAAAATTGATAATAATAAAAAGAAATAACAAAAATAATTTTAATTAACATTGGATAAAGAATAAATAAACTAGAAACAACAAAGTGCAAATTCCATTTTCCCTTTTTTTATTTTCCATTTTCATCTTTTTTCTTCTTTTTCTTTTCTTCTTTTTTTTTCAAAATAACTTAACAAAAATAAATAAAATGCCAAAAGATTGAATTTAAAAGAAATAAACATATTTTGTGAACAATTTTCTTTTTTCTTTTTTTTAATATATTTTATATATATATATATATTTTTTAAGAAAACATTGAATTTAAATAAATAAATAAAAAAACGACTAAAGCATATTTTTTGAATGTTTTTCCTTTTTCTTTTTGAGAAATTCTATGCTAAAACTTAAAAATAAAATAATAACATGAAAAACTAAAAAAAAACTAAAAACTAAAAAGTGAATAAAACGAACACGACAAATAGCAAATGAAATTATACTAAAATTTGGTGTCTACAGGTCTGAAATGGAAGATTACATCACATTATATCACAAACGGCCACTAACATGCCCAAAACAAGCAAAATGACAAAATCAGCACATGCAAATGCGGAAACGGCAAAATGGACACGCGCGCGCGCGTGGAACGGCAAATGGAAATGGCCAAATTTGCCATCTCAAACCGTTTTAATCAAAAGTTAGGCTAGGAATATCGGATCAAGGTGGGTGAGACACCGTTTCGAAGCTACGAGGAAGGGCTACAACTTTTATTTAAACATCTCAACCCAGATCTCAATAGGTATTAGTAAAAAATGCACAAAATAGTTTCAGCCATTTCATTTCGGTTTATCAAACAGGCCCTGTTTGAAAGACCGTAACTCATGGCTCAGAAATCGGAATCAAGAAATTCCAGAGGCGTTAGAAAGCTCATCCATAAGGCTATAATTTTGTGTTTGGACTAATAGCTGAATCAATACAGAGCATGGAGGAAAACGGGTCCAAACATTCCTGTCAGAACTGTCCAAATTCGAAGGTAGTTCTAACAACCGATCTTGTTTTGGTCATAACTGAAGCTATGGGACTCGGATTTGGACGAAATTTATACCGTTTTGAATCTAAGACCAAGATCTACATTTCTTATGAAGAGGTCAACACCCGGTTCGTACGTTATCAAAACGAACAGAACATGGTCAGAGGCTAAAACAAGAAACGCGGCAGAATTCTGAGTTTAGAATAGGTGCGACTATTTTGGCCATAACTCAGGGTACATAGATCTGTTTGACCTGAAATTTTGCAGGCACCACAAGGACTTCAAAAGCTACAACTTTCATGTTTTGAGAAAACTCTGAATCAATACGTAGTATCAAGAAAAATGGAGCTCAAGTTCAGGTGCTGACTGCCCTGTTTACCCGGATTTGCTGATTTTGCGCGCCACAAATGCATGGTCCGTTCTATGATTCTCATGTAAATTTTCTAACCAATTTCATACCAACGAAACACATATATACCAGCTTCTAAACAACCTACCAAAGGTCCGAAACTTTCCTTCTAAGACACTACAACTTGCCCAAAACTAACCATAATCTTTAACCTAACTTTATTTGCAACACTAAACTTAATCTAACAACCTACTAACCAAACCCTAACTCACTAAACATTAGCCAAGCTAAACCAATCTAAGGAAGCCTAGGGTTTCTTAACCCAAATCAGTTTTTACCACTCACTCACCAAACCAATGAAACCAATCATCAAACACAACCACTACAAGTTCAATAACACAAGATTAGAGCTAACTAAAATGTTTAACAAGAAACCCTAATTCTTTCATCTCTTGACCGAAATTCCAGCAGCAATAACTCACTAAAATTAACCATTAAACTACTCAAAAGTCATCATACAACCCATAAAAATACATAATCACAACAAAACTTCACTTACACGACTTCAAAACTTAATCACCAAACTTTAACTTCAAAGAAAGATGTTTTACCTTCAAGAGAGCTTTGTAAATGAAGAAAGCTATCACAACAAGGCCCCAAGTTGTTTCCCTTAAGCTCCAACTACAAGATGGAAGCTAGAAATTGAAGAATTTTGAAGGAAATTTCCTCTCCTTTCTTGCTCTCTCTCTCGGCTCTCTCTTCCTCTCTTTTCTTTCTTATTTTGTTTTGTTTTCTTATGACAATCTTGCATTCCTATGATATATATAAGATGGTCAAAGTGTAAGAAGATATTTTCTCTCTCCACCAATCACATAAAAGTACCTTATTTGTATTTTAATCCTTACACTTCAACTTAGCTTTAGTTCCACTCTTGTCCTCAAACATTTTGGACTCTTTCAATTAACTCCATAGGTTATAACTTAATCTAGTCCACAACATATAATCACACTTAATTACTTCACTAATCACTTTTCTATCTTAATCACCTATACTTAATCATACTTAATCCCACATAAAAGCAATTAAATAACAACCTTTTTGTCAAGGGCAAAATTAGGGTTTTAAACCCAACTTAGAATTCCAACAAATCATATCACTAGAAACTTTTCTAGTTTAGGGTTTTCCTAACTTTTAAACTCACTTAACCTATCTAAAATGGGTCAAATCTTATACTTACCTATACTAAAACACACACTAACATAAATAATTTTAATCACCACTCGAACTTATAGTTAATACAAAAACTAGTGTTTCAATCCTAACCCCTTAGGGTTTTCAAATTAGTCCCAAAACCTAATGTTACCGCACAAATAATGAATATAATCTAATATCAAACTTAAGAACGGACTGGGGCCTCACAAAGCAACTCTTACAAGTACTAGGTCCTTTACTTTATTATTTAGACTATCTATCAAATGAAGGCAAAAGAAATAACAATACTTGCTATCTAACTATTTTAACTAAATAACTTGCAAGATAACAATAGAGAAATTTCACTAAATACTTGAGTTTAGGGAGATAGAGTCCATTTATAGCACAAAGATATAAGTGAATAGATTTATCTCTTGTTACTATTCTTGTTTAACTAGATATTCATTTTCAAATTTACCAAAACTCACTCTTATGATGTAGTGGCTTAGAATAGTCTAGTTTTGCCTATTCTCATGGTGAATAACTTGATCTACTCTTTTGTTCTTCATGAAATACAAAGTTAATCCACTTAAGTGTACCTCTATTCTCATGAATCTACTCTTTAAATTCCATTTATGTTGTTTCATCGTTATTAATAATTTTCATTGAAGAATAACAACTAAAAACTTGCTATTAGTGTTCAAACAATAACAAGTGATAAGCATGCATAAATGGATAAATTAATAAAGAGGTAGTAAGAGTAAATCATATTCAACACATATCAAGTAGGCATAAGTTTCATTTACTCCTTAATCTAGAAAATTAGCTACTCATGTAATATAAGATATTAAAAAGTATAACTTCATTATATGCAAATCTAATGAATCACAAGTAAAGAGAAAGATAGAGAAAACTTAGCTAAGATGATGAATAAACTCTTAAATCTTTTATTTCTTCAACAAAATGAATGATACAATGAATTATCCAAAATTTTCTTACAAGTTGTTAGTTAGAGAGAATGAGAAAGAACTAAAACTAATGTCTACCAAGAACTATTTAGAACTCCCAAGAACTTCTTCTCTCTTCAATGATTCTTACATATATAATGTTAAGAGAGTAAAAAAAGTGAAAAAAATAATATGACATAAAGCTCCTTTTCTCTTCCCTAAGGAATCTTGAGCATGTACAGCTGAAATTCTAAGATAAAATTGAGTTAGAAAGCAGTGTAAAAATAGAGCAAAGTGCATAACAAGTTGCAGAAAAGCAGGAGAGAATATCCGATCACCCAACACGCGACCTAAGGCCACGTATTGAGGTTGTGTATTGCCTTTTGGATTGATTTTTCGATTGTTTTCTACTCCAATTCCTCACTAATCATTATGTCCAGATGTTTGTTCATGCAATGCACCATTAATACTTGCATTTGATCTTCTACGTTCTGAATTGCCATTGAATGAAAAGCTAATGACTTCGAATCGAATCCATCTCGGTTCAATGTTGAGAGTTCACCTCAATACCTGTAAATATGGCCAACTTTTGCACATTAGGTTGCTCAAATAAAACTTGCAAAATTTAACAGTTTAGGGAGTAAATTATATCTTAAATCATCCTAATTAATATAAAAAACATACACAAAATGCTACTAATATTGATATATAATAAACACTTATCATTATCTTTTCTCTTGTAATATCATTTTTTAATTATTGGTTGGACCTAAATGTTACAAGATAATTAACTTCAAGGGAGGTTAGTTTAGTTTTTTAAATTTGAAGGGAAGCCAGTGAAATAATTGAAAACCTCATGGGAGATTTCTGAAATTATCCCTTGAGAAAAAGGAAAAAGAATTACATTTGGGGAAATGAAAAACCCAAAGTAAAAACCGTAAACCCACACTCTCACAACATTTCCGTTCCTTAGCCTCTTTCGGCATCGGGCCCCCGGTATTATTCTTTTGTCCACCTCTTCCGTCATCTTCACACCTTCTCCCATTTCCCCATCCCCTCCATGCCTTCAAGTCCTAATTCCTATTCCTGTTTTTCATAGCCTTGATTAAGCCCTCAAGAGATCCTCTAACCTAATCATGATGCTGTAGTAAGCAATTTATCGCTTTAATCCGTTACCTAATCATCTGTGCCTAATTTAAATACTAATTGGTTTGATTATTCTGCTCGCGAACCACCACCGATTGGGACTGATTGTTGGAATTCTGATAGCCGAGGGTTTTTCCCAGGATTTTGCAAGAATTTTTTTTAAATTTTGGTAGTTTTGTTAACTTGAGATGGAATCGGAGGATGATATGCACGACGCCAACGACGCGGAGTCGGGCGACGATGATTTCTACAGCGGAATGGATAGCGACGGAGACTATGATTACGACTACGGCGCTGCCGATTACGAGTTTATGGGTAACGAGATTGATGACTCAGATGATATCATTGATAGTCGTGGCCAGGTCCTATATTACTTTTACCTTTAGCTTATCTGGATTTTTCCGCGAGGAAGTGGATTATTATATGTAATTACAGTGCTTGTAGATTTCGATTTATAGGTCTAATTTAGGTGTGTTTCTGTACAAGGACCCAACTTGTGTATATAAAGGTAGATATTACAGGTCGTGCATTTCAGATTATGTGTACCATTTAGATTTTCCTTTGGGGAAGTTTTAGGAGTGTTAATTTCCACTTGAATTGCGTGAGCAAGCACTTGCATTTGCTGCTTGTGTAATTGAGATAATGATCGTTGACTATTAATGAAATCCGCTGCGTGTGCTAGGGTTTTGTATTTGACGAGTGTCCCCATGCTAGTGCTGAAGCTTCACTTTTATGTCATTATACCCGTTTATGTGTGGGTTGAGTTCTGATTAATTAGAATTATGGAAAGATTTTGGAAGTTAGTGTTTTTTAAACCAAATGGTGGAGTTGGGTTATGCATTTCTGTGATTTAGGTGATTGTTGCCATGTATTGACTTTAGAGGTAATAGGTATTTATAGCTGTTGGTAGTGTATGAGATGTATTAGGTATTTATTGTTTTATTCTTGTACTTTGGAGTATTAGATTTGAGTTTTGAGGTCTCAGCCTTGTTTGGCATGGAAAGAATGAAATTTTGGTTGGAACTGAGGGTGAGTTTACAGTGGTGAACCTTTCTGCTCCATGTAGATTCTAGTGTCTAAAGTGTCTGAAGGTTAGGATTCTGGATGTCTCATGGAATGAATACTGTGTTGGCTTAAAGTTTTTCCTATTGATTATCTTTTTGTTGAAGGTTCAGGTCTGAGGATGCTAAGTCACCAACATTTCATTGATTGATTCGCCTTTTCCATTCCATTTGAAACTAAAATTAGTTTTTGTGTAATTCAGAAGAGTTACACCATCTTGAAGGAAGAAGATATACGTCAACGTCAAGAAGATGACATCATGAGAATTTCGACCGTTCTCTCTGTATCAAGAGAAGTGGCTTGTCTACTGTTGCGGCGTTATAATTGGTAAGGAACATGCTTTTTGATCATGTCATTTCCCTTTCATGTGCAGTTCACTGGTTTACATATCTGTGCTAATTTCCTCTTAACATTTGTATGGTCATTGAGATTCATCCCTAGGTTACTGTAGTCTGGTTATTATGTAAGTCTAAGTTATTGTTTGACAGGAGGTTCTATTTTCTATAACCTACATGTTTTGGTCAAATGTGCTTGTTTAAAAGGTTCCGCACCATATATATGTGTACATATACATGCATGTGTGTGTGTGTGTGTGTATATATTTATTTATGTATGTACGTATGTACGTGTGTGTGTATGTACCTGCTATTTCTCTCGAGACACCAGAGCAATAGAAAAAATGGCTTTCAAAACAAGAAAAGAAGACAGGATATTGTCCTTTCTGGAACCTAATTGTTTTAACCAATGAACATATAGGAGTGTTAATAATGTGCATGAGGAATGGTTTGCCCATGAAGAACGAGTCCGCTTGGCTGTTGGTTTATTGGAGAAGCCTGTTGTTCAATCCTCAAATGCCAAGGAGGTGAGCTATATGGCGTTGACAACTTTATAAGTACATGTACTGTATGCATATATTTGTTTCTAGTGCAGCTAAATTTTTTCATCATTGCTCTGCAATTTTCTTCTGGCAGGTTGCCTGTGGGATTTGTTTTGAGAACTATCCTCTTGACAAGATAAGTGCTCCTGCATGCGGTCATTCTTTTTGTAATACATGCTGGCAAGGTTATTTCACTAAACCATGTTCAGACTCCTCAAGTTGACTGTAGATATGTTGCACTTATATATGCTCAATTTTTAATGGCCAGCCCTAGGCTTCTAGTTTTATGAGGCTTTCATTAGATATGTTAATTGAAACCTTTGATCAATTGGTGTATAACTTTTCGGAGGATGAGTGGGATGTTCTGTTTGTTCTGTTGGAATGTGGGAATGCTAACAGTTATTTACTTTTAATATAAGGTTTAGTATCAGTGTCAAACAAAAAATGAACTTAGGAAAGGTGAATGCTGCAACTTCTGGGACTTGTTGCAGAAGAAATTGGTGCATGAGGAAAGTATGTACTGAATGTAGATATTTGGGTGAGATTGCACTACTATGAATGATACCCTGGGAGCCTGGGAGCCTGTACAAACTTACATTGCCCAACAAACTAAAGGCTTTTAAGATACAAATGCAATTGAGGAGGAAGATAACAGAAATGAATAAAAAGTGAGATTGTGCTGTTGCTTCATACATGCCAATTTTAACTACTTTCTTTGTCCCTCCAAATTGAGTATTTCTGTGAGCATAGCTTTTCTTTTGATTCTCCTTCGATAGAATGAGAGGTGGTTTCCAAATTCTGTTTCTGACCAAGATTTAAAGGCTATTACATCAACTTATTGTGTACCTTTTTCCTTGATTTAACCACACTCTTTTGCTCAGATTCAACCTCGTGGGGCTAATATAAGAGTAATCTATTCAAAAGTCTTTCTTCATCACATTGTTGCACAAATGATTATATCCTAGGGAATCATACCATTTTTAGCTGAATGTTTATTCGCTTAATATTTATTGATCAACATTTAGATGTGGGATCTTTTAATTAAAGTGTTTATATTTAATTGGGTTCTGATTGTTACATGCTGTCAGGGTTAACAATTATTTGTTAATTTAATTGCATCCAAAAAAAAATTGTTGCATAAGATAGTTATTAGAGAATAATAAGATCAGTACACCTACTCATGTTTGGTATAGATAATGCATCCAGATTTTCAGTGGTAACAGTTTCTTTTTTGGTTGCAACAGAAAAAGTTGTTCATATAAAGTCAAAAGTAATTGGTTAAGTTCTACTGAAAAATTAGTTAACATGCTCTATTTGTGATAGTTCCCTTATATTTTAAGGTCGTGATATTTTGATTTAAGTCAATTTTAAGCTGTTACATGTGCATCTCCTAAACCTTTGTGCTTGTGCAAGGGTCAGTACAAATGGAAAGAAGAAAATAGAAAATGTATAAAACATCAGCTTGGTCTTATGCTTTCAATACCTGATTGATTATGTTCAATAATTGCATTACCTAGGTCTTTGCTCAAACACCCTATCCTTCCATTTTGAATAAGTTCCAAAGATTTTTGACAAAAGCTTTAGTGAAGAATATCTTTATCATAATTATCCAAGATGCATGCCTAGGTTGGCGAAGAATTCAAACTCTATTCTATCATTTTCCCATCAATCAGTGCTATGATCAATGTAAAACAACTTTTCTTCTTGAATGTCTTTTAAAAATGCTTAGAGATACCTTGTCGCCTGTTAAACATCATCTCGCTTAATCAGATAAACTAGATATTTGGCTGTGAGTTCAAGCTAATGCTGAATTTGTTCGAGCATTGTTGTTTGTTTTTCCATTTGTGTGGAATTTTTTTTTGCTTTCAAGAGCAACTTTTGCTTGGGATTTTGATGGAATTTGACTTCCATTTGTTTTTGAAGTTTTGGGAAAAACTTAAAAAGATAGCGGGAAGAAAAGCATTGAAAGGGTGGTTGTACAGATCCTTGGGTTATTAATGAAGAACTTCCTTATCTAAAGCATTTTCTCATTTGGTGTAAGAACTAGATATTAAATACTGTAAATCTTTATTTGTTTGAGTCATTACATGAAACTTGGTGTAATAGTGCTTATCATTAAACTAGAATAACTAGATTTGGATACTAATTCAAGCTAAAAAGCTTAGCTGCTGTGATACTAAGTGCATGTGATCTGCATTAATTGATTTTCTGGTATTATTGTGCATCATGTCCATCCTTCTTGTTGTAAAATGTTTCCCTTCCCTAGTTATAATAAGCCTCTTCTATGTGAAGTTTATCATATCAACTTGATCACTTTTTACCCTTGTATCATACTGTAAGCCTCTTAAATTTCTTTTCCTTTTTGTGTTGTTAGCTTACATTAGCACATCTATCAATGATGGCCCTGGTTGCTTGACGCTGAGGTGTCCTGATCCCTCCTGCTATGCTGCTGTTGGACAAGAAATGATTGCTAGGCTGGCGTCTGATGAAAATAAGGATAAATATTATCGTTACCTTCTTAGATCATATATAGAAGACAACAGGAAGGTGGATGGTTATTTTCCTTATTTGTACCTCATCTTGTACTACTTGATTTACATACTTTCTGCTGCATGTTCTTTCTCTTCGTCTTTCTACTTGATTTACAAAAGCAGAACTCACGTGGATTTGCCTACCTATTTCTCTGGTTTTGGATACCATTTGTGCACACCAACCTTAAAAAGTTTACTATACAGGAACAAAACCTTAAAAAGCTGGAGTGACGTTTTAGATTAAAGCTATCTTCCTTTTTTTAACTTCAAATGTATGTATTGGATATGACATGGCTCCATCTTAAACCTAGTGGCTGTTTGGAAAATGTACAGAGCATGTCTAACTTAGTTTGACCTGTTTTTGATATCTGCTTTAGAACACTGCTAAGCAGTTGTTTCTAATGTCATTATTCAGCTTTTATGCATTGATCTTTGTGGTTATAGAACTCTTATGCATTGATCTCTGAGTTTTCTTTTAGTATGAACTCTTTAGCTTACTTGCATATATAATGATATAAAAATAGATTCTACTACTCGGATTCATCCTTTTAAATCCATTCAGGGGCAGAAGAATATAATAGGATGCTTAGGTTCCATTTGTTGATCATCTATATAAGACTGGAATGTATCTCTTGTGTGGGGGTTATATTAATAAGCTTGTTTACATTGCTTTGAGCGTACCTTTCTATTTTGGTCAGAATGAAAAAAATGTATGTACCTTGGAGAAATGCATACATGAGGTGAAAGATTGTTTTCTACCCAAAATATAATCTAAAAACTCTGCTTTTTCACTTGTCTGTATCTTGTGATTGTTGTGATTTTGGAGTAATTTCTTTTCTACTCTTCTATTTTGTAGACCAAGTGGTGTCCAGCCCCAGGTTGTGATCATGCTGTTGAATATGTGGTTGGAAGTGGGAGCTATGATGTTACTTGTAGTTGTTCATATAGCTTTTGTTGGAATGTAAGTCTCTTTTGGATTGTTGGGAAGAACTTCAATATTTGTTGATTGGTACTTTCGACCATTGTGCTTATTGTACATTTTGATCTAGCAGTGTACAGAGGAAGCTCATCGCCCTGTGGACTGTGAGACTGTGGCTAAGTGGATTTTGAAAAACAGTGCCGAGTCAGAAAACATGAACTGGTATAGTAACATATTGCCATGCAACACTTTACATGCTTTTGATAAGTCTGTGTAATGCTAGTTTCTCTTGTTGATTGATGCTAACTCTTTAGTTATTTGCCTGAATTTAGGCTTCGTTTTGAATTAAGGGACAGAAATTTTGTCAAGGAGAAGAAACTTAAAAGTAGAAAAGTGAGTGAGCTTTTGGTTAGTCAAGTTAATCTGTCAGGGTAAATCCGTTATTAAAGATGCAATCAGCATTGTTATTTTATAGAGATGAAGACGTGAGCAGTCTGCATATGCCAGTAACAATGTCACTACTTTTCAGAATCAATATTTGTTTAGAATCTTGCGTTAGCAATATTAATAGTTTGATGGATGATTAAAGGATGACAATGATACTGCTGTGCTGAATTCTAGGATATTGGCGAATTCTAAGCCTTGTCCAAAGTGCAAACGTCCAATTGAGAAGAATCAAGGTTGCATGCACATGACTTGCACACCACCTTGCAAGTTTGAATTTTGCTGGTAAGGTTCTGGAAAAATTCTGTGTTTTTATGTGAAAAGTTCATGTATGGTTTTGTTAAAGAACAATGTCTTTTGTGAGCTCTCCTACATGCATCTTGTTGCTCATAGCAATGAAAGGATAAAAGGGAAAAAAATTTTCATCTAATGTCATTTTGTAAGTGGAGGCCTTTGTTGTTTCAGGCTATGTCTTGGTGTATGGTCAGAACATGGTGAGAGGACAGGTGGTTTCTATGCTTGCAACCGTTATGAGGCAGCAAAGCAGGAGGGGGTGGTATGGGCATTATTTTATCTTCTTCCAACTCAAGAAGAATACTGAGAATATGCTGCATTAAAGGTAGTTTTTAAGTGACAGTGTTTTGATAATTTTTCAGTATGATGAAGCCGAACGCAGGAGGGAGATGGCCAAGAATTCTCTGGAGAGATATACTCACTACTATGAGCGGTGGGCAACCAACCAGTCGGTATGCACACACTGCTCTACTAGGATTGCAGTTGTTGCATTCTTCTATCAATGCATTTTGATGTTTAAGTAATCGTTTGGTATCCTCATCCAAAGATGCAAGTACCGGTAACTCGGGAATGCATTTGAATTGGGCTGATAATTGTTATTTTCATGGCAAACATGACAATTTCCAGTGACATTTGTGGCATTCTGCATTCTTTTATCTATGCATTTTGATGTTAAGTAATTGTTGGTAATCCTCTTCCAAAGATACAAGTACTGTTAACTCGGGAATGCATTTTAATTGGATTCATCATGGTTATTTTCATGGCAAACATGACAATTTCAAGTGACATTTGTGTCATTCTGTATTGGAGAATTGTGTTGGTGGTTTCTTAGTAAATTCATTTATCTTTTAAATAAAGTTAAACAGGAACTTGGCTTCTCACTGAAAAGAAGAAGAGAGATACTTCAAAAGCCTGTCTATAACATCTTTGTCTGGATGAGTTCATTCTGAGGCAAAGATCCATCATCATTTAATCATATTGATCCTCAAACTTTGTTTTACTAGTGGCAGATCATTTCTTTACTTATCAAGATAAGCTTCCATCACGCATGTGTTGAATGTATTTTAAAGCATCAGGTAATCAGACTAAGAAAAGAAAGAAAACGTTGGTGGAAAAAAGCACGGAAGATTGACAGGATGCCATGACGATAAGCATGTACATGGTAATTGGCATTAAGAAGTACCATAACTAGCTAGTATTGGGCACTAGTTGCTACATTGGCCTGCAATTACTTTTTTGCTTTTTCTTGTCTTTCGATGGGTTAGACAACTGGAATAAAAGACGGAAAAATTATCTATATAGTTGATTTAAAGATAGTGGTGAGAGAAGTCATCATTGAATATCATTTAATGGATGCAAAGCAGCAGAACAACTTCTTGTGTCATTAATGCTTTATGGTGTCTTTAATTTCATTCTTCTGGAGATAGTTCCTCATGGTTGGAATAATTCCTTTTTGTTAAACATACTGCAGAATTCTTTGAAATAGGTGATATGGCTACATTCCTCTTTGAGTTAGTCATTTTTGTAACAACTACTTCCCTACTTGAGTTGCAGTGCCCTAGTTTCACTTCTGCATTTCAATCTTAAGGTTGCAGAGTCATGATCGGGAAAACGATGTTTCTGTGGCTGCTAAAGCTTGTCATTTCACGATGCTTCTGAATTTATATGATATCTGTACTTATTGTCCTGCTTGAAAAAAGGTTGTATGTTTTGTTGGTTGTATCCTGTACCGTCAACACAGTTTATGGAATAAATTTCATTAATATATTTTATAGGAAGATATTTATGCATAGAACGAGAGGCATTAGTGTGTTTGGTTGTCTACCTATGTGACATATTTGGTATTAGATTGTGGATCCTTTGATTGTGAAATAAAGATTGCAAGTTATACCATAAAAGGAGCAAGGTTTATCAAATTCATGCAGAAGGGTTGAAGTAGGTTGCTCTTACACTCGTACTTGTTCACAGGTCAATGCCAGTAAGCATTTAACCTTGTGTTGTGCTTTTAGTTTCCTTGTTCAATGCTAGTAAGCATTCAACCTAGTGTTTGTATTTTTAGTATCGTTTCTTTCCTATTTGTACTTTTCTAGGATATTCGTGTCTACTTGGCTACTCTAGTTGCCATTGGGTCCATCACTGCTCTGAATGGGACTTGGTAAGGGAGAAATCATATTGTTAGGTCACAATATATGTGCAAGAATGCTAGGAGGAAGTTGAGAAATGATTCCTTTGTCTATCCAAATGCTCTTTTGTTCTTTACTTTTGAGTAAGTTGGATGAGAATGTTTATTTAAAAGGCAGAGTATCTAGACAATGAAATCAGAAAAGCTTCTTTTAGGATTTTTTAACCTGATTTTGGTAACAAGAAATGTAGATTCTGTTCAAATCAGAAATCATGCCTTTTGTCTTTCAAGCAACTATGAACCTTTTAGTTCTTTGTGCATGTTTAGCATTCTCAATATGCATTAGGATACAGTCAATTTGTTTGTCAGATTTATAAAGGGTCTGGCATCATCATAATGAAACTTAAAACTCCTTCGAGAGTACCAAATGCCCCACTTGGTCACCTGAATTGTTTCTTCATTTATTTGCAGTCAAGGCAAAAAGCTCTAGCGGATTTGCACCTAATGCAAACTGTGCATGTGAGTACAATCTTCGTTTTTACTCTCTTTTTTGCGCTTTGATGTGTAATTGATATAAGGCAGCCCTCATGCTTTATGACTGAAGGCAAACACAATATTGACTGACAACAAGAACCTTTTGACCCTCTCTCTCTCTCTCTCTCTCTGATATATGGTTGCAGAATTCTGCTAATTATGTGTTTATCTGAAAAGAAATCTATCTAATTTGAAATTGCTATTTCTTATATGTGATTGGAATATGCAGTTGTGGCCTCATACTTATGACTATGGCAAATGCAATATTCGAAGACAACAAGAACCTTTTCTGCCTTCTCATTTATATTTATTTTCGCTGATAGTTTATTTTGCTAGTCCTGTTTGTTGAAAAAGGTGATGGTTTAGATATCTAATTCTATGTATGTATAAGAGCCAAAGCTAGCTAGAAAACTATCCGATGCTTAGTAGTTTGTGGAGAATAAGACTTTCGGATTGGCACTGGAGAACTTGTATGCTTTTCTTTTAAATTGGTCTTCCAAAGTCCTATTCATAGTTCCAAATTGAAGGCAGTTGCTAGAATCTAGTCTATTATGTCAATGGTGAACTTTCGTGTTACTTCTATTAACTTTTGTGATCGAGGCACATTATTTTTTATTCCTTCATTACTTTTTATTCCTTTATTAGTTGGCATTTGGTGATAAGTAACTTCAGGTGCCTTCATAATTTGATGTCTTCTTTTTTCCCTACAGCTGGAAAAGTTGAGTGAAATACAATGCCAACCTGAGTCACAGTTGAAGTTCATAATTGAAGCTTGGCTTCAGGTAAGACATTCTCAAACTATAAGTTCTCAATTGTAGTTTGACGTTAACATAGAAAGTTTGCTATGTCTAGTGTGTGTGTAGTCGAGAAGCCACTTAAAGAACTAGCATTTGTTTTCATTTTAATGTATTAACAACTTTTTGAAGGCTAAAACTCTTCATTAATATGTACAGAATGAAATTTTGTATGGCATTTTTACCAAGTTGCACTATTCCATCTGTCCAACATAGGATGAAAATTAAATCAAATAATGATGGTGTTTTAATGTGCTTAAGAACTATGTTGACTATTATAGACTAGCACTCTTGTTATGGACAACGGAGTAGCCAGAAATCCATATGCGAGGGCTTCTATCTTGGCCTGCCATGTATCTTTCTGTCTGTCTCTCAGATATTATGTGAACTTTCTCATTCGCACACTTTCAGACAAACATATTTACAAAGCAAATGACATTTAGTGAAGATACAATTAAGTTTGTGGATATTTTGAAGTAGATAAGTGTTCCTAAGATTTGGGGCTTTGGATTAATGGTTTTTACTTCGAGTCTTGGTTGTTGCTGAGGAACTTAGGGTTTTTTTGGGCGGCAGAGCTGTGCCTAAGGTCCTTTGCTACTCAGAGGGGCTATGAAGTTGGGGCTTAGCTGCCAAAAGTTTTGACTTTCTGATCAAGAATATGATAGAACAGCTTGGGAATGTCATTTTTTAGAAGCAGAGCGTGAGTTCAGGATATGAAGAAAGGACAGGCTTTGAGATTGGGTGTATTGCTTCCTTGTCTTGACTGCCATTTAAGTTCTCCAGATGGGATTGCATGCCTTGAATCTGTGTTTCTGTTTAGTTGGATTACTTCTGTGCTTTCAGTGATTTTAAATGCATTTTTTGGCAACTGAATTTCAGGCCAATAATTAGGTGGTTTGCGGGGTAAACATGGATTTTCTGTGATTGTACTGCACATGTACATTGCCTTCCTTCTGGGTAAAAAAATTATGAAGTTCCAACCATTGGCTGGCAACTGGTGATAAAAGCAACTGTGATTGTGCTATGCTACTGTGGATGGGGCCTGTTCTTAAATTATTCTAAGTACCTGATTTGGGCTTCTGAGTTTAAAAAAGCTATTATTTTAAAGCTAGCTTCTAGCTTTCTTTTTATTGCTTTTTCAGAGGGAAAAAAGCTGAAAATCAGAAGCAACAAAAACATTTTTTTCCCTTTCCATTTAGATATTTATTCTGATTCTGATTTTGAAATTCAGAAGCAATTGAGCGCAAGCTCATATTAGATCAGTACATCTTTTACATGCCCAAGTAGGTGGTTCACTTGTATGGAAAGTTCTCAATGCTCCAACCTGATTTAGGCCATTATTAATGCTTTTGTGTTAGTACCATTGCAAGCCCCAGAGGAATAATGGTTTCAGCATGATATCAGCTCTCAAAATTATTGTTTATCTTAGCAACTGTGTGAAACTTGTTTTGTCTCAGCAATTGGGAGAAGGAGAAACTTGTTTGATCTTAGTATATCTTCAGCTCTCACAAACTAGTGTTTATCTTAGCAATTGCGTGAGACTAGTTTTGTCTTTGGTTTATCTTAGTAATTGTGTGAAATTAGTTTTATCTTGATGTATGCATGAATGAATACATACAGTCTACAAGAAACTTCTTTATGCAACTGAGCTAAACAGAAGCTTGGGTTGGGGGTACTATATAAACCTGTGAGTTGCACTTCTGACAGTTCTTCCAGGTGTCTTGAACCCAGTAACCTATTATTAATATATTATCACCGGACCTACTGAGTGAATAACCGTGGAGTGTTTCTGCTTTTTGTTGACTATTTTGGAGGTCATTAAATATATTATATATGAGACTTTTGTGTTGCATAAACAGCTGCTGTAGTCTTGTGTACTTTTGAATTGTATAGGGCTGGGATTGTAAACATTTCTTGGGGGTTGTCAATCTGACTTAAACTTATTTTTTCCCACACACTGATTGTTTCTTTGCCATGTAATGTACACTGTACATGTGATCAATTCCTATGATTGTGCAGATAGTAGAATGTCGGAGGGTTCTAAAATGGACATATGCTTATGGCTATTACCTACCTGAGCATGAGCACACCAGGAGACAGTTTTTTGAGTACTTGCAAGGTATCTTTGTCTCTTTGATCCATGTGGATCTTGGTTGCATTCTTTTGCAATTAACATTTGTCACTAAATAGCTTGGAACGGTTTTTTCCAGGGGAAGCAGAGGCTGGTTTAGAGAGGCTCCATCAGTGTGCAGAAAAGGAACTACAGAATTACCTCCAGGCTGAAGGTCCTTCGAAGGATTTCAATGATTTTCGCACGAAGTTAGCTGGTCTGACTAGGTAATTTAGCTCAAGTTTAAGTCCAGGAAATGATCTACTATATCTTTTTCTGATTTGTGACCCTTGTCAGAGTAAATTTCTGTGATCTTAGTGTACTTATGTGCTTTTGAAAAGTAAATTTCTTTTGATCTACTATATCTTTTTCTAATTTGTGACCCTTGTCAGAGTAAATTTCTGCGATCTCAGTGTACTTATGTGCTTTTGAAAAGGATACAGTCCTTTGCCTATTGGACTGATTCGTCAAAGAGGTTATCTAGCATTTGGCACGCATTATTCCTGCACAGATGTTGTTTACTGTATCCTTTTTGTTATGCATTTGGTGAAAAGAAGAATTAATGGCTGAATTGTTGAATGAAACTTGAAAATAAATTTTAGTAGGTGATATTTGGCTGGAAAGATATTGACATGCTAAATTTTTATATTTGATCGGTTGTAATGTGAAACACTGCTAGCTGACCATGCAACAGAGGTTCAAAGCAACATTTTAATTGCAACTCTGATAAAAATTGATGCGAGTTATTGCATGAACATGAGCTGATAGTCAAATGGCTCCTGATCTCTGCTTTAGCAAGTTTGCTTAATTACTCATTTTTACTAGCCTTACGATTCTGGGCCTTTGTTCCTTTTTATTATATAGAACACTGTTCTGTTTTAATTTTTTGTTTTGCAGCTTTTATTTCCCCTTCTGATTATTGAGATTGTTGGCCCCTAAAGTAACTCCAGCCAATCTTTTTTCCTCTTATACTTTTGTATTGATGAAGGATGATCTTCTGCATTCTCACATTTATCCATTTTGTAGCTGATAATTAAACCTTTTGCATTCTAACTGATATATGTTTTAAATTGCTGCAGTGTGACCCGAAACTACTTCGAGAACCTGGTCAGAGCATTAGAAAATGGTCTTTCGGATGTGGACTCACAAGGATCTTGTAGCAAGACATCAAGCTCAAAAAATGCAACTGCTAGCAGCAAGGGAAAAGGTGGTGGCAAGGGAAAGGGGTCTTCCAAGACAGGAGGGTCTAGCAGAAACCTTGATGATTCTGGTAATTGGGCATGTGATCAGTGCACGTATTCAAATGTTAAGTCTGCAACTGCATGCCAAATGTGCCAGCATCGTCGGTGAAAGAGTCCTCAAATGGTTTTGCTTGGACAATATACCTTTTGGAACAACATAAGACGACTTGCAGAAGAATTGCAAGGAGTAATTTAATCTATTATTTGAAGGTGAGGAGGATTTCGAGATAGATCTGAGAAAAGTGGCAGCCATATCATTTATCTCACGTTTGTGTTGTAGAGTTGTAGTAATTGTGCTTTCACTGTAAATAGTTTCTGCAAATGTATTACCCCGACCAGCTATGAAGCTTCTTGATTAAGAAGGCCGACTGATTTAACGTCACAGAGACTGCCAGTTGGGTACAAAATATTCCCCTTTGTATCATTCTGGAATGATGTGGCTTCTTTGTATATGCATGTTTAATGGATTAGGATGTTTGACTATTCACAGGGGAGTTGCCATTAGTCCTCTTGTAATCTTCTTAGTGTATCCTACATGAAGCTGGAAAGCACGGGTAATCAAATATAGTCTTAGTTGAAGTGTGAACTACAATGGGCAATTGTAATTAGCTAAGTAGAGGGCTAGAGAATCAAAGTCGGGGCTAGTTAATATCCCTACAAAAAATTGGGCCTCTGGACTTTCTTTCAGAACTTATCAGATGCTTCACTATCAGAGTTAACAAGCAAGTTCCATGCTGAGTGGCATTTCCATTTGACCAGCAGTTTCTGGTTTGTAATTTGTCAAGACAAGCTAATCAGAGAAGTGTTTCACTCTAGGGAAAATTGGTTTGCTATCAAGAGGCATTGGTATATCAGGATGATACGAGTCAAGGCACAATGAGTAGGCAGGCTTAATGGAAAAAAAAAAATCCCATCGAGATTTTGCTTCCATCTGCAAGAGTCTGCTCTAAAGTAAAAAACAAAAACCTGATTATTCTCCCTAATAAAACTATATGTATGTGTTCTTACACAACCTTTGTTTGCTTCTTTTTTGTTTTTGTACGTGTTAACTCTAAGCATTCTATGAAAATTTTAGTGTGAAAGAGAAACCCATTGAGGTGCAAACCTCTCACTATTTGATTTATAAATGTCGAGAGTAAGGATGATAATGAGGTAGATGCCCATGAATACCTGTCCCACAGATGACAAATGGGGCAGGGAAAGTGTGGGGTTAGGGTAGGGATAGAGGAGAAAATTCACCCCAACCTTATGGGGCACTTGGATAGGGGATGATTGTCTCGTCCCATCTTTGCTTTGTTCCCGCTTCAAATTAATATTTTACATATACACTATCTATTAGTACATATATCCCATGCTTTCTATTATTATTACTTATTATAACTATAATATTATACTCCTAGGCTTCCTGAATTAATTTAATTAATGAGGAAAGAAGGTTAAAACTTATTTCGACCAAGAAAGTCCACGTAATAAACTATTGATCACTAATAAGTATAGACACCAAATTTTTGCTATTTTTCAATATTTTCTTGAGTTTTTCATCTGTTTATTGGTCATTTATTTTCATGTATTTTAATGTGGATTTCTCTTAGTTTTGCAGGTTTTGGAAAAGAAGAAGAAAAACAAGGAAAATTGGGAAAAAGTGGGAATATCCAAAAAGGAAGAAAATTAACAAAAGAGAAAAAAGAAAAAAAATTATTGGGAGCTTCCAAAAAATTTCCTAGGATTTATCCACCTACCTGTTTTCTTTTTCCCAAAACTTCCCACACACTCACACTCTTCCACTAGTAATACTCCACACTCCACTCACACACACACACATACTCTCTCTCTACACACAACACAATACAAATATATATATTTTTTTGTCAATTGTCGTCATCTACACCTACTACTATTTCTACTTTAACTTTTTTTAGATGGGGGGTGATCCAACAAGGTCACGGAGAACTGACAGAAATTGAACCATCATTGGACTATACGGGTGCAATACGTACCCATATGGATCTAAAAGAAGTCACGTTAAGTGGCAAGAGGCAACACAATACAATTCATTCCCCCTATTTTTCCCTCTTTATCTCTCTCATCATCTATATATGTAGTTAAAGAGTGAATTCAAATGGCCAAAATGGAGTGGTCGTTTGGAAACATGGAGTGAGAGCCCATAAATTTTCACATTTTCTAGGGTATTATCCTATTTAATGGTATGTTTGTCTACATTTTCTTTATTAGGAAAAATTTTCTAGATAATTTTTATGAGTAAATATAGTTTTTAGATGATTTTTCTAGTATCGGTTGGTTTTTGAGAAATTAAGAGCGTATACCGGACGTGGGACCCGCTAGTGCGGAAAGTTCGGAAAAATTTGGCCAGTTAGGTTAAGTTTTGGATACCGGGTTTATTTTACCAGGTGCTAAAAGATAATTAGAGGTTGTTAAATGGATGAGAGTGGAGAGACAAAAGGATAACCATGTATTAATTGAAGTGACAAGTGTCACTTGTTGATTAATTCTTACATTTTGACCATAAGACCATCTTATCACCTTTACCAAATAAATACTAAAATTGACCAAAAATTTCTCATTTTCTTCATCTTCTTGGCCAGCCATCTTCAAGCAAAAAGGAAGAAAAACCTCTCCACTTTCTTACCTCTAATCTTGCCCAATCTTTCAATTCAACCGTTTAATCTTCAAATTACTCCATAAAACTTCTTGCTAGAAAGGATTAAGAAGGATTGGTGGAGTTGTTTTGGAAAGGGAAGCACTAAGCTACCAACTTTCTTGGGGTTTTAAGGTATTTTTCCAAGAACATCCTCTTTACTTCAATTAATTGCTTATTAGTGGTTTTTAGTTGTTTTAGATGTTGTTTTGGGGAAGATTAGCATTTGAATGCATGAATTCTAGGTTAGGGTTTTGAATGACCCTGTTCTGTCCGGTTTTATTTGAGCATGCTAGAGGCCGAATCAGTTCTTTCCCAAAACATAAAAGTTGTATAGAATGATGTTTTATAGTAGCCTACAAAATTTCAGCTCAATCGGAGCAACGTAACCTATGAAAAGACCGAAATACCCCTGCTGCCCTGTTTCTATCCGAACATGCTAATCAGCTTCTGTAATTGGTTGTTTTTACCAGGAATACTACTGATTTGGTTGTTGATGTCTTCTTAAGAATTCTACCCTTGTGTCTTAGCTTTCTAATGGCTTTGGAATCACTTGAATTGGAGTTGTATATGTTGAGATATGACTGAATGAATCAGGACTGCCACAGTAAACTTTGAATTGGAAAATCTGGAGTTGTTTTGGTATATTTGACATAGTTATGGTGAGAACTGGACTAAGTGGTCTTCATGAAAGTTATAGCTCTCTGTCTTAGCTTCGAAATGGTGTAAATTTTATCCAAATCTGATAAGTGTAGCTCCAGTTGAGTCCTTTCCGCTAAATGACGTCAAAACTGTCTTTTGGTTTTAGGGTTTATAATTGGGGCTTTTCTAGGGTTTCTTTGTTGAGTTACCATTTAGTTGTTTTGAAGGGTATTGTTGCTCTAATTAAAGGTGTTTGATAGTTTTGTGATTGGGTGTTGAGGTTTGGTTGGAAAAGTAAAGAAAGACTAAGGGAAATGCTGTCAAAATTTTCGTGGAACTTCTGCACAGTCTCGGGAAATTTGCTATATCTTGATGTAGGAATGTCGGAATTGAGTTCTGCTTGTTGCATTTTAAACTGGATTCATAGGGCTATAAACTATGTAAATTTCAGGCCCTGTTTATGTCTGTACCATTTATGGTGATTTTTCAAAGTTGACTGAAATATTGTACCTGTTTTGTCTTTCATTGGATAAAGCAGCAATTTGAAGTTTGAATTTGACTGACTTGCGTTCTGAATCTTATGAGGATGTTTTTTGGAAAATAATATCCCTTTGAATGTATTTTCCAACGGTATAACTTTTTTTAATTTTGGACTTACAAAACTTGAGATATGATTTTCCATATAGGGTTGCGCGAAACTGGAAAATCCTGTTTTCCTTGTATTGATCTTACTTTCATTATCTACTTCAAATTTGGAGTTCGTCAGTCATTGTAGGTAGAGCTTTGAGGTTGTTCATGCCTTTAAGACTAATTGTTACCTTTTCACTGCGAGGTCACCTCTTTGCTTTGCATTAATGGTTCTTTTGACTAGGCATATGGCTCGTAACCGAGTCTCACTTGTGAACTCCATACTAGGTCTTGGAGTCGAGTCTTAAGTGTTTGTCTTGATTGTTCTAGGAGGTGCCGACGGTTAAAGCCACACTTGAGAAGGAAACTTTTGAAGTTATCCTTATTTGAACTGGTGAGTGCACCACTCCCCTGAGTTATCGCCAAACTGGTTTTCTATACTTGCAACTTGCTATTTGAATATCTTTTCTGACTGTTTATCTTGTATGAGACGAGGGTGTACTTTATCACACTCGTTCTCTTGCCTGTACCGAACGAACTGGAATCTATTACTTGTACTTGTTATGTACTTGAACTTGTTACTTGTACTTGTTATGCGATCGTCTGGAAATGTGTCCAACGATCGTCCTGTTAAACTTGATCCCTGTTAAACTTGAGCTCAACCTCATGGGGAGTTAATTAAATCGAGCCAGCAAGGGCTTGGTCGAGATAATTGACAATCCTTGGGTACCTGCTCCTGGGGGAATCTTTGTGTATTGAGACTCTTGATTCCGGTATACTCGAGTATTACCATTCTTGTTCCTGTTTGGCGTTCGGGCCCGGTAAGGGGTATGTTTGGTGAACGGGGTTTTGGCGTTAAAGTGGTGTTCTGCTGGACTGGTTTCTTTATTTCAACATTGACGGAGGGTCAACGAGGCTGGATCAAGTATAGCAACGGGAATTTGGCTCCTGAGAGCAACCTGTATCCTTTACATTGTCATGTTCATTCATTTCTCGTATTTGATGTGAATATGTGCCTCCAAAGTGCTTTCTCATGAACTCTACTGATTCTACTGTTTATACTATTGGTACCTCATTGAGCTTTCAGCTCACCCCGTTCCGTTATTTTTGTTTTCCTTACAGGGAACCATCTTTTGGAACTGCAATGTTTTGAGAAATGAGTTGAGCTAGTTAGAAATTCTTTTGTATTTTTGGTATAGCTCCTCGACAACTTAGAAACCCTAAATGTATCTTAATACAATGTTTCTTTTTGGATTTGTAAGCTTACTAATAGGTATATTTAAAATGTTTCCTCATGTTTATGTGATATATCTATTCGGGAATGTATATTCTTTCATGGCAAACAAAGTGTACTTGTATATGGTTGGATCCTACATGGCGGCGGCCCTTCCATTTCATCTTGATTCTTGTAGTTTTATTCCGGTTTGGATGGAGGTGTGACTGAGTCCCAGCGAGAGCTGGGCAGGCAGTCCGCCGAACCCCTTTGGTTCGCCCTAGGCTGAGATGGGGCTGTCACAGGTGGTATCAGAACTGCTTCGCGTGGTCTCTGCGCGAAATGAGCTTGGGCCAAGTGGTGTTATGGTCCCGATTCCGTGAATATGTACGAAGGTTTAAATGCTCTTTGAGCATAAGCTATGGATCGTGAAGTGTTATAAGTTTT